GAACAGGGCCTCTATGGATGAACAGAGAACCTCCAGGGTAGGGAAGAGGCAGCTCTGAAGAGCACAGGCAGCATGCTGAGTGTCTAGGACCCACTGGGGGTGGGGTGGGAGGGAGGGAAGCCTCAGCAGGATGCCTGGGCTTCATCAAGCTTTACTTTCAGATTTGTCAGTGTTTATTATAATTCTATAAAAATTTACTTAAAAAATTTGATAAGCTATTTTAGATGGAAGCAAGACCTTTATGCATGATATAAGAAAAGAACTTTCGTTTTTTTCTGAGAGGGAGATGAGAGCAAAAGAGGGAAAAGGGGCAGGCATGGGAGAAAGTGGGGTGGAGGGGCAGAAAAGGAGCTGGAGAAAAGAGACAGCAAGAAATAAAGGGGCTGGGACAAGGTAGGAGGAAGATTCTGTGCTACTTCATGCTAAGGATGCTGAAGGAGGCTTTAGGAATCATGTTTTGTTTCTTAATAAAATATTAGCAAACCGATTCCAGCAACACATAAAAAAGATTTGGATTCATCCCAAGGGCACAAAGGATGGCTTCCAAATCACTCAATGTGATACACCACATCAACAAAATAAAGGACAAAAATCACACAATCATCTCAATAGATGCAGAAAGACATTTCATAAAATTCAACATCCATTCATGATAAAAACTCTTACCAAAGTGGTTATAGAGGGAACATATCTCTTCATAACAAATGCTATTTATGAGAAATCCACTGCCAACGTAATATTCAACAGTGAAAAGTCGAAAAACCCTCTTGCTAAAATCTGGAACAAGACAAAGATGCCCACTCTCACTACTTTGATTGAACACAGTATTGGAAGTCCTAGCCATAACAATCAGACAAGAAAAAGAAATTAAAAAGGGATCCAAATTGAAAGAGAAGAGGTAAAATTGTCACTATATGCAGATGACATGATATAGAAAACCCTAAACACTCCATACAAAATCTACTAGAGCTGAGAAATGAATTCAGCAAGGGAGCAGGACACAAGATTAACACTAACAATGAAATGGTTATTCTCTTTCCTTTCTTCACAGCACTCAGCACCATCTGTCTTTGTCTTGTCCTTTTCTCTCATCTGCCTTCCCTGCCAGATTGTTAGATGCAGATGGGCAAGAAATGCATCTGCTTGCCACAATATCCAACTGTCTGGCTCATGTAGTAGACAAATTATTGGTGAAGGTTCAGTAAATATCTATTGGTAAATGTTTAATAAACATACAGAGAAACTGTGACTCAGAGTAGTTGAGTAATTTGCATAAGATCACACAGCCTTAAGTGATGGAATGGAGAAACTAGTCTGACTCACTCCAAAGGCCCTACCCTTTTCACTATTCTTCTCTGTTTTATCTCTTAACCTGGGGGTCCTCAGCACTTCCTTTGTTGTTAGTCTATGGGCCTGAACCTATAAGAGCTAATTTCCCTCTCATTGTCTCGTGACCTAGAGGCCTCAAATCTCTGATGCTGTGGTTCCCCTGGTTAGTCCTTTGATATCCATTTGCTTTGAGCTGGTTGTCCTTCCTTCCAAAGCACAAGATATTCATGGGGCATCCCCAAAGCATCTCATCTTCTCCAACTTAGAAGCCTTTCATTCTACACACAAAAGGTCATTAAAAGCTTACCCTGGGCCAGGCCTCTTCTAGGAGCTGCCAAGCCATGACTGCCTCTCCCAATCAGGGCTCTCTGTCTCCGTATTGCTTCATCCTATTTCCTTCTCAGTTTCTCTAAACCACGAATAAATCAATAACTTCTATCTTTTCTCGTCATCAACCTCTTTCCTGCATGCTCTCAGATCCAGGGCCCTGTTTACACCTGCCTGGTCCTGTCTCTGGGGAGGCAGAAGACAGTTCACCCCAGCTCAGAACAAGGATTAGCGTATCAAAACCTCCAGTGTACTTTGTGGTTACTCCCATTCAACACAGCCCCTGAGGCTCAAAACTCCGGTGTACATTGTGGTTACTCCCACTCAGCATAGCCTCTGAGGTTCAAGTCCAAATCGATTTTGGGGCAAATGGTATAATGTATTATATTTCCATATAAGGTGCCTGGTCTGATGCAGACATGCAAACCCTGTGACAACATCTCCCCAGCCCTTCCCTGTAAACTCCAACCCGGGTACAAAGGGGGCAGGGTGGACTTGCCTAGCCTTGCTTTTTCTCAGATGTTAGTCCAGGACAAGTCTAAAATTAGCCCCACCCCTCCTAGTGCTACAACTTAGCTGGAGCAACATGGGACCAGCTACTTTTAGAAACCATCCCTTTGGGGCTTAGAGCTGAGCCACAGAAACAGGTGATGGAAACTGGGCCTGGAACCTGCAAGGCAGGAAAGAAGAGCCGGATCAAGTTCGGGAGCTGGTATTGGAGTGCCAGATCCAGGGACCAGGGCTGCAAATCCAGACATAAGCAGTGGTCATGGTCAAATCAAGGAGACATAGCACAAAACCAAGCCAGAGCTGCCCAAAGCTTACTGCAGTGCTGAGGTAGGGTAGGGGTAGGAGGTACAGGGAGGGAAGAGGGTGCATGCTTCTTAGGTACGCTGCGGGCCAGATGCTTTTTTATGGTGTCTTGTTGAATCTCATTGGTAGGAACTATTAGTTTGCCTCTTTTATCATTAACTAGATGGAATGTCAGAGCTAACCAATGTCGAGTTAACCAATACCACCCAGCCAACGCAGGGCACAGCAGGGATTCAAACCCAGGCCTGTTGAGCATAAGGCCTGGCACATTCCTCTATGCTGCCTCTAGAAGTAACAGCAAGGGAGATTTCAAATCTACCCATCACCCATGAGAATGGACCATGAAGTTGCCCCACCAGTATGTCTCACCTGGGTCACATCCCAATTTCCTGGGGGGCCTTGAGAAAAATACCAATGCCTGCTTCTGTGCAGTTGTTCTGGGACAGGGTCTAAGAATAGGTATTTTAGAATCTCCTGGGAGAGTCTCTTGCGCCAGTTGGGTCTAGAACTAGGCTCTCTGCCTGGTTGCTGATCAGTTTCTGCGGCAAGCTGGAGAAATAGGGTGGTGAGAGATGTTTGTGCCCACTTCATCTGGCTTCCACTCTGGACAGGCAGGCTACTTGGTCAGCAATGGCGTTTTCCATGGATGATCCTCTGAGGGAGGTCTTCTCAAATGCTGAAGTCAGGGAAAGAACTAAAACGGCCTTCCCACAAAGGGAGGGTGGAGGCCAGGAACCTGGGGAGTTAAGATTCTATAAGGCATAAATTTTCAAAGAAAGAAGGAGTAGAATCCACATCATCTGTCAATCTAACAAAGCTCCGCCCCTTTTGCTAAACATTTAGAAAGGGAAGAGACTCCCTCAATGTAAATGGCAGGGCTCCCTGCCAAGGAGCAAAATGTACAGGTGAGCCCGTCTCTGACTGCACTCAGGTACGTCTGTCTTGGCTCACTTAACTCACAACTTCTATGACATTTAGCACTAGATTATGTATCTTTGGTGTCCCTTTGATTTCTAATTGTTTCATATTTAATTATTTCAAGTCTTGCCTTCTTTGAAGTCTCCTGGAAGGCAGGGACTGTTTCATGTAGGAGACAAAAAACAATGTCAGATAATCTCGGCTGGGACGTCTTTGGGTCCTCTTGATTGCATATTGTCTTCATCTTCGAAATTAAAAACAATGTTAATGCCTGGGTCCCAATCCCTGAGAATGTGATTTAATTGGCCTGGGATGTGGCATAAACATCACGACTTTTCAAAGCAGCCCAGATAATTAGAATATTGCACCCAAGACTGAGAAGCAAAATTGAAGGATAATAAAAAGCTGCATGGAAAAAAATTGTAACAGTGGTTATGTCTGTGAGGGGAAAAATGGGGTTATGTGATTTATTTTATTTTTGCTAATCTGTTTTCTCTATTTGTTTCCCCACATTGGTTACATAATTTTAAAAATTAAGGCTGAAACAGAAATGAAACTGGATTAAGTATTCTTAAATTGCCTCCTTTTTTCAGGGACAGATCACTGATGATAATTTGTACCATTTGGAATGGGTCCCGATCAGACACTATTCTCATTCACTCACCAAATACTTAGTGAGAGCCTGCTGCATCATTCCACATGCTAGACACTGGACACATAAGAGTGAATTTTACAAGCACTATCCCTGTGCAGGTGAAATTTACACCTGAGGGAGGAGATTAACCAACAAACAAGCAAATACAGACTTCAAGGAGATGTTCTAGTACGGACAAACAGCTGAGTATTATACTGTCTTGTAGAAATCCGTAACAGAAATTGCAAATATCTGCCTTATGCTTCCCCCTCTGTGTCCAAGGCAGATCTTGCTTATTGACTATGTCACCGTTTTTTGCTGAAGCTCAGTATCCATTTCAACAAAGCCGGTCAATCTGAAGTGGTGCTTGGAATAAAACATAATTAGTATCCCAGGAAAGAGCTGTGAATTATCTTGTTGAAGGTAAAGTAGGTGACTCAAAAGGTAATTGAAATCTTCTGATATTGCCAAGCAGTTCCTCTCGGATCATAGTTCACTGTAGATAACTGAAATTCCAGCTGCTACAGGGCAGATAGGGTTTTGTACTTTGACTTCAGTTACTTTAAAGGCCTGAATAAAGAAAAGTCAATACTCAGCAGAAGAGCATAGTAGGATTCAGAGTTTCTACAACATATCATTCATATTGACCAAGGTACACTCCAAATTATTCAACATACGACAAAACAGGACACCATGTCTTATTTTAAGGAGTAAAGGTAGTCAACAGAGACCGACTCGAAGATGACTTAGATGACAGACTAACAGAAAAGAATTTTAAAGGAGTTGTTGTAACTGTGCTCAAGTATGTAAAGGAAAGTATGTCCATAATGAATGAAAATATAGAAAATCTTAGCAGATAAATAGAAATTATTTGACAAGGACCAAAGGAAAATATGAGAACTAAAAAATAAATATCTGAAATAAAAATTCAATAAGGGTGCTTAAAAGCACAAGGGAGATGAAAGAAGAAAAAACTAGAAGATAGATCAGCAGAAATGATTCAGACTGAGGAACAAAGATTTAAGAAGTGTGTAGAGAATCA